AGCTCAACCTCAAGGGTGAGTGACGTGGCCTGACCTGGACAGGGCCAAGGGCAGGGGCTGCTGGGGGCCCTGTGGGCTGGCAGGTGAATGCTCTCACCTGTTCCCCCTGGGGAGCGGGGAAGATGCCCTCTGTCCTGAGGTGGCTGTGCAGGGCTCATTCACCCAGGGACATCTCAGGCGGGGCTCCCCGTCCCCAGCCGCCTAGCCTACCTTCTCCCTCCAGGCTGTGAGGTGGTCCCCGACGTCAACGTCTCAGGCCAGAAGTTCTGCATCAAACTCCTGGTGCCCTCGCCTGAGGGCATGAGCGAGATCTACCTGCGCTGCCAGGATGTGAGTGAGGGCCGGGCTGGGCCGGGCTGAGGCCGGGGTGGGGACCTGGCCAGGGGCTGGGCCAGGGGCTGAACCACAGCCTGGCTAGCCCCTCCCTTCCCCGTCCCCCACTCCCAGGAGCAGCAGTACGCCCGCTGGATGGCCGGCTGCCGACTGGCCTCCAAGGGCCGCACCATGGCGGACAGCAGCTACGCTGGCGAGGTGCAGGCCATCCTGGCCTTCCTCAGCCTGCAGCGGACGGGCGGCGGGGGCTCGGGCACCCAACCCCAGGGCCCCGATGCCTCCACCGAGGGCCTCAACCCCTACGGCCTTGTGGCCCCCCGCTTCCAGAGAAAGTTCAAGGCCAAGCAGGTACCAGGGGGAGTGGGTGGTGGGAATGACCGCTGGCCACCTGGGCCCCTGGGTTTCCGCAGAGCCGTCCTCTGGAAAGCCCTGTGCTCACTCCTTCCTTCTCCACGCGTGTCCCTGAGACCGAGCGAGGGGACCAGCCCAGCCGCCCGTGTCTACCTCGGGGCCCGGCTCAGCTCGTGTTTGCTGAGTGGTGAGAGGGTGCACGCTGGTGGCCCCTCATTGGGCACCGTCCCTGCCCCAAGCTCAGCATCCTGTTTCCCTGATGGGGACAGACAGGTAGGGGGTCTCAGGGACTTGGCAGCCACTCACCAGTGTGGTCCCACAGCTCACCCCGCGGATCCTGGAAGCCCACCAGAACGTGGCCCAGCTCTCGCTGACGGAGGCCCAGCTGCGCTTCATCCAGGCCTGGCAGTCCCTACCCGACTTCGGCATCTCCTACTTCACGGTCAGGTATGAGCCGCACCCAGCCCACTCTGCCAGGCACCCTCTCTGCCAGGTGGGTGCACCGAGGACCCCCTTCCTGTTCTCTGTGGGCAGACCCTACTGAGGGCACCCCGTGTGTCCCCCCACCCTGCAGTCCCACAGCAAACACAAGAGAGAGAGATCAGGCCAGGCGAGCAGAAGACCCAGCTCCCGTCCCACCTCTGCCATGGACGGTTCCCTCTCTGGGCCTCGGTCAGCCGGGCTGTAGGACAGGGCTAACGCTGCTGCTGTGACAGGGAGCCCCCCTTTGATGGCTTGATTCCAAGCCTGCAAAGATATGAATGACGCAACGGATGATGATGATACAAAAAATGTTCTTCCAAGGCAAGGACTGTTTGCCTGACGCTGCTGAATGCTATTAGAATGATTGTACCAATGAATCCCCATTTTCCAGATGAGGAACTCAAGGCCCAGAGAACCAAATGACTCCTTGCACAGCTGGCTCCGAGCCCTGCCCCAGGCTGCCTGGGTAGGCTCCGGGGCCATGCAGGGTGGCCCTTGCTCACACTGTCTCCTCTGCGGGTCAGGTTCAAGGGCAGCAGGAAAGACGAGATCCTGGGCATCGCCAACAACCGGCTGATCCGCATAGACTTAGCTGTGGGCGACGTGGTCAAGACATGGCGCTTCAGCAACATGCGCCAGTGGAATGTCAACTGGGACATCCGGCAGGTGGGCCCGGAGTGGGGTGGGGTGGGGGTGGGGGCTGGGCCAGACCCGGCCTGGGCAGGGCAGGGCCGGGGCTGCTCCCTTCTGCCACCCCCCACCAGCCCCTCTGACTGCCCGCCCCACAGGTGGCCATCGAGTTTGATGAGCACATCAACGTGGCTTTCAGCTGTGTGTCCGCCAGCTGCCGCATTGTACACGAGTACATCGGGGGCTACATCTTCCTGTCGACGCGGGAGCGGGCCCGCGGGGAGGAGCTGGACGAGGACCTCTTCCTGCAGCTCACAGGGGGCCACGAGGCCTTCTGAGGCCTGTCCACTGCCCCCGCCCCACTAGCCACCTGCCATGGCCACTCCCAAGCCCACACCCGCTGGGACTCACTGCCCACACCCTCTCCAGACATGCACCGAGCTGGGCACGTTCACCCACTGTCACTGGCTTTGTGCAGACCAGGGACCTGGCAGGGCCAGACTCTGCCATCCCCAGGCTAGGGAGGGCGAGCCCTGAGCTCATACAGTGCCCACCCTTCCCTTGGTGGTGGAACCCAACACCCCTGACCTAGCTGTGGTCCCTGAGCACAGGAGGAAGACCAGCTGTAGCTACAGGATGATGACTCATGGTTTCAAACTGGAGTTTCTTTTTTGTTATCTTTTTTTTTTAATAAATATTTTATTGTTGGATCATCCTTCTTCCTCTAGAGCTGTGCTTGGGGCCACTCTGACGCTCTGTCTCTTCATCACCAGCCAAGGAGAGGGGCTTTCCTGAGACAGAGACAAGAGTTGGTTAGAGAAAGGGAGATCTGAGTCAGCCTGCGGTTGGAGGCTGGGAAAGAGGCGAGGGCAGAGGGCACAAGCTTCAGACACAAAGAATGGGGGTGGTTCTCACGAGTGGGGCGCAGCTGCAGGGCCTCCTTGAAGTACTTGGGAGGCAGGAAGCCATCAGCATTCCCCGGAGTCAGGATCACCCCATTGGTAGAGCGGAAGAAGGGGATTCCATCTGCAGACAGAGCCAGAGATGTGACTCCTGCCCTCCCTGAAGGCCGTGGGCTATCTCTGCCTTGTCAGACTCACCTGCCAGGGCCAGGGGCCCATTGATGAACACGGCCACGTCACAGTTTGGCCGAATGCCTGCAGAGACAAGGAGTATTGGGGCCTGGGGCGCCTGTGGCTGCAGTCATCAAAACTGGGGTCCTGGGCTCAGTGGGGGGGATGGGGATGCTGCTGCATGCAGGGCCTTGAACAAGAGAGGCCGTGACCCTTGGAGGGGTACCTTGGAGGACCGACTGGGTGGGAGTAGCTGGGGGGGGCACTGACCGCTGATGACACCAGGGTCCCCAGGCAGTCCGGGTGCCAGGTGGATGTGTGTCCTTCCCCGGCAGGACAGGCCCTTGAGCAGGATGGACGGCCAGTGCTGCCAGAACGTGCCGTGGACGAGCCTTAGGGGTAGGGCCTGCGGGGTGTCCAGGGGTGTCAGCTCCAACTCAGGCACCTGGGACAGGTGGGGAAATGGGCAGCATGGAGACCCCCTCATAGGCAGGGGTCCCACCTGGTCTCCCACTTGTCCCCTCCGCCCCCACCTGCAAGGAGTGACCCTGATTGGCCCGGATGAGAGGGCCGGTGCTGGGATCCCCCGGCCGCAGGGCGAACCGCTGCTTCGCGTTGGTCTCCACCACGCGCTGCACGTCTTCAGCCGAGAAGCCGCGGAACTGGGGCAGCTGCAGGAGGGCGCGCAGGGGCACGAAGCCGTCTGCGGGTGGGCGGGCAGGGTTCTCAGGAGCCGGACTTGGTGTGGCCTGGGCCAGAGTTAACAGGGGAGCCACAGGCAACCAGGACAGAGCCTGGGGTTGGGGGTCACTGGGGTTCATCGGTGGGACCTTTAGAAAGTCTCCCCTTTCGGGCCTGAGGTTCCTCAACTTACAGGGGAACAGGATCTGCCTCAAGGAGGGTCACAGAGATAAAGTGACCTTTTTTAGCACAGTACCCGGCCCACAGTGGACACAATAGACACCAGTTGCCCCCACACCCCCCAGTGTTGCCCACTCTTGGGATAAGTGTTTATTGGGCCACTGGGCTCGGGATATCACCAGGCCTGGCCCAGACAGAGGCTCCTCTCCCAGGCTGCCACGGACATGAGCCTGGGCTCTGGGCCACGGTCTTCCCTGTACGTGGAGGGGATGTGCCCTCCGGGCCGTCCCCATAGGGCCGTGGGGGAGCCATGGGGGAGGCTGGCAGACAGGCTCACACTGCTCCCTGGGCTCGAGCCACTCTGCTCCAGCCTCCGAGACCCTCACTCACCAGTCCCCATGGGAAGCCCCAGCTTCAGGGCCCCATGGCGCAGGGCGTAGGACAGAGCCTTGGACAACTGCACATCTCGGTCCTGAAAGAACCCAGAGGTGGCCCCTGGTCCTCGTGGTGATCCTGCCTGCTGCCCACCCTGAACTCTGACTGACCCTCTGCAGAGGGAGACCAGAGGGGAAGGAGTCCCCGTGCTCGCCAGGGATGTATGACCCATCAGCCCCTGCTCCCACCCCACCAGCACGTCCCAGGGAGCGAGGGCTCAGCGTCCCTGTCCCCTGCCCTCCCACCATGGGAGTGGGGGGTGAGAGTGGGAGGGACGCACCTGTTCCCGGGGTCTGTGAGCCCTTCTACCCCTGGGGCCTCCTGCTTCCTGCCTCCTTCCTCCCGAGGAGTTCATGGCCAAGACCTGTGGGGAGCAGCGACATGTGGAGACTATTAAGGACCCTCCCATGTCCCCACCCTGCCCAGAAAGTCCTAAACTCTCAGGATGTGAGAGCTGGGAGGAGGATATTCAGCTCATTAAATTCACTTCCCATCCCCAACTTTCTGGTGCAGACAGGGAAACTGAGGCCGGCAGGCCAGACTTGCCCAAGGTCACAGTGTCAGTCCCGGAGCCCGAGCAAGCCGAGACCCCGCGCCCCAGACTAGCGGGTCGCCCCTGGGGCGGAAGCTCAGCGCCAGCGAGACTGACAGGCCCCGGGAGGCGGAGGACGACGTGCGGGCTCACGAGCGCCTGGCCCAGCCAATGAGAAGCCGAGGAAGAAGGGGTCGGGCACTTCCGTTCCGGGGAAAGGGGCGGAGCCTGAAGGCCGCGGTGAGTGCCGGCTGGAGGCCGAGCTTCCGGACCCTAGGAGGGGTCCCGGCGCGTCGGGGGTTGGAGGGAGGATCCCGGGGTTTGGGAGACTTGGGCGTTAGGGGGTGACTGGACCCAGGCCCTCTGGCTGGTAGGGATGCCCGGGAGTCCCAGGGATGTCTGGCAGCAGGAGTCTCGGGGCTCTTGCGGGATGATGCTAAGACGCTCTACTGCCCAGGGAGTGGTCAGGGGGCTGCAGGAGGGCTGGGAGTACCCTCAGGAGGTCTGTGGCAGAGGGGGCCAGCTACCAGGCCCAAGGGTGGCTATGGGTCCCCCAGGACGACAGGCCTTGCTGTGTCCTCCCCCAGAGCTGCCCTGTCCAGACCATGGACCCTGAGGTGTCCCTGCTGCTGCAGTGTCCCCCTGGGGGGCTGCCCGAGGAGCAAGTCGGGGCTGAGTTGAGCCCAGCCTATGACCGTCGGCCACTGCCAGGAGGGGACAAGGCCATCGCTGCCGCCTGGGAGAGCCGGCTACAGGCCCAGCCCTGGCTCTTTGACGCCCCCAAGTTCCGCCTGCATTCCGCCACCCTGGCGCCCGTTGGCTCTCCGGGGCCACAGCTGCTCCTGCGCCTGGGCCTTACTTCCTACCGAGACTTCCTGGGCACCAACTGGGCCAGCTCAGCTGCCTGGCTGCGACAGCAGGGGGCCACCGACTGGGGTGACAAGCAAGCCTACCTGGCGGACCCGCTGGGGGTGGGCGCTGCACTGGCCACCGCTGACGACTTCCTTGTCTTCCTGCGCCGCTCTCAGCGGGTGGCCGAGGCACCTGGGCTGGTGGATGTGCCCGGTGGGCACCCTGAGCCTCAGGTGAGATGCCAGGCTGGGCGCAAAGGCACGAAGACGCAGACAGCTCAGCTTTGTTTCCTCATCCCTTAAAGGGGGAATTGGCTTGGCGCTTCTCCGAAAGTCTCTGCTCAGGGCAGCCCCTCAGTTGCCCTGCTGACCCCTGCCCGAGACCTTGGGAAGCTAGGGGATGGGGGAGGGGTGGGCAGAGGACCTAGCTGGACCTTTAGTTGTCCATCTGGAAAAGGAGGTCCTGGGTCAGGGGATCACCAAAACTCTCTGTGTCCAGCCAGGCCCTCAGGGCCAGCAACTATGGGGGAAGGCAGGGCGGGAAGAGGTAGGCAGCAGGGGCTGAGCCTGACCTCTCACAGGCCCTGTGCCCTGGTGACAGCCCCCTGCACACGGACCTCCCTGGGGAGCTGGTGGTGCATGAGCTCTTCTCCAGTGTCCTCCAGGAGATCTGCGATGAGGTAAGTGGGGGCCGGCCTGGATGGGGTGGTGGGCAAGGAGAGGGGGGTAGAACATGCCAGAATTCCTCAGGTCTGGGATGGCGGTAGGGTCTGTGGGCATCTGACACTACATCGACTTCCCTTGGGTGACCCTGGGCAAATTGTTCAATCTCTCTCGTTCTGTTTTCCTATCTGTAAAATGAACATGCCCAAGATCTGACATTCTGCGATGCTGGGCACTTGAGCTACAAACTGTAAAGTGCTCTACAAGGGTAATGGGCTGCTCTCGGTTGAGAGGGGCAGGGATGCGGGCAGCGGGCACTGACAGGTGGGACCCCCGGCCACAGGTGAACCTGCCGCTGCTCACCCTGAGCCAGCCGCTGCTATTGGGCATCGCCTGCAATGAGACCAGTGCCGGTCGTGCCAGTGCCGAGTTCTACGTCCAGTGAGTGAGCTTGGGGGACAAGGTCCCGGGTCCTGGGGTAGGTGGGTGGTTGCGGGGCATGGCTGAGGCAGCAGGGGCTCCACAGGGACCCTCCAGGCACTCGGCACACACTCTCATGTCCTTGTCCAGGTGCAGCCTGACTTCTGAGCAGGTGAGGGAGCACTACACGAGTGGGGGACCTGAGGCCCACGAGTCCACGGGAATCATCTTTGTGGAGACACAGGTGCGAGGTGGCAACGTGTGTCTTGCTTGGACAAGGAGCTGGGGTGGGGGCTTGCAGAGGCCAGGACTGCCCCCTGGGGATGGATCAGACGGGGGCTCCCAGATCTCTCAGAACTTTCCTCTGGAGCCCCAAGGCCTCATTGGGGATGCCTTCAGCCCAAGGGAGAGGGCCAGGGACCTGTTCAGCCCCCTCGACATGTCTCCCTAGGGACAGGGCAGTACAGAGGGCTCTGCGGCTCGGGAACTGGGCACAGCTCCTGCGGGAGACCTGAGGGATGTCTGGGTCTGTCTCCCCACAGAGCGTGCGGAGGTTGCAGGAGACAGAAATGTGGGCTGAGCTCTGCCCCTCGGCCAAAGGCGCCATCTTCCTCTACAACCGGGTCCAGGGAAGTCCCACCTGAGTCATCTTAGGGTCCCAGCCCAATCACTACAGCTCGGAAGACAATAAAGGACTTTATTCTTGATAAAGGACTTGATTCCTCTGGCATCTGCTGTTTCCGTGAGACCGAGAGGGGCCGCTGGGAGAGCCCTGGGTGGGTGAGAGAGACAGGACAAGTGACTTGGAGAAAAAAAAAAAAGCCCAGCCTCAGTATCCCCTCTGCAAGCTGGGAGGAGGGCCGTGCCCCCTTGCCAGGCTCTGGTGAGGGTGTGGGCCAACTATGGGGAGGAAGCTGCTCTGTCTCCGGCAGAGCGGAGGAGCAGCCATGTCTGCGGGACAGGGCGACGACGCCGGGGCAGAAAGCCTCACTGAGGGTCAGTCTCCGTCCCACTCGCCTACCCAGTGGGCGCCCGCGTCTTTCCGCACCTCCGCGGACCTTGCCCTCGGTGGGTGGGCCCGAGGCGCCAAAGGCCAATGGGCGGGCGAGGGCGGGGCCGTCGCATCAACTTCCGGACAAGTGGGCGTGGTCGTGGAGCCTAATCCAATGAGAATGTGGGCCGGGGCCTGAATAGGAACAGGAAAGGGCTGCGGCCGCGGAGTCCGTGAGTGCAGCGGGGGCGGGGCTTGGTTGTGGCTCCTCTTTGGCTCGACCCGCAAACTCCCTGGGTGGGCCGGGTTTCTTGGCTTGCAGGGCTGGTTGTCCAGACGCGGAGGCCGACCTGGAGAAGGGTCCTGGACGCCGGGTCAGAGGCAGGGGACAGGTCCAGAACACTGGGGTCTGGTCCTGAACAAGGAAGCCCCACCCGCGCCTGGGTGCCCCGGCCTGCTTCAGTTTTCCTTCGGAAGTAACCCGGGCCAGGCCCCTTCCCTCGGCCCCCGGAGTGCGTGAAGTCTGGCCCATCCTGGCCCCAATGCACTTCTTTGTGGCTTCCTCTCCCCAGCCGCCCGCCTGCCGCCATGCTGCCCCTGCTGCCCCTGCGCCTGTGCCGGCCGTGGCCCCGCAGCCCTCCCACCCGGCTCCTCGCAACGGCCGCCCGGCAGCGGTGAGTCGGGCGCCAGGGGCCCGCCCGGTCGTTCAGTGGGTTTCTGCTGAGGGCCTGCCCAGCTCTAGGCCCTGCCGTGGGTGCCGAGATAGTCGTGATCTCTCTGCTCTGTCAGGCACCTTACAAGCTGTGTCAGGTAACCCTCACCTTCACTGCTGGGGACACAGGATCAGACGTTAAGGAACGACCCCCAAGGTCGTCCAGCGAGTTAAGAGGCAGATCTGAAATTTGAGCCCAAACCAAACCCAATGCACTTTTCACAACTCTAGTGATTGGCAAGCATCACTGTGCATGACCCACTGCGGGTAGGGGGTGGGGGTGGGGTGGGGGGGGTGGAGTTACAAAAATGCAGATTCCAGGGCCCTGCTCTGTAGATTCGGATTTGCAGGAATGAGGTGGGGCTCAGGAACCTGTTTTTTAAATTTTTTTGCTGAGGAAGATTAGCCCTGAGCTAACATCTGTGCCAGTCTTCCTCCACTATATATGTGGGTCGCTGCCACAGCATGGCTGATAAGTGGTGTAGGTCTGAGCCCGGGGATCTGAACCCTCAAACCCTGGCCACCGAAGCGGAGCACGCCGGCCTTAACCACTACTCCACGGGCCGGCCCCTAGGAATCTGGTTTTGTTTTTTTTTTTATTTATTCCCCCCCCCCCAAAGCCCCAGTAGATAGTGGTATATCATAGCTGCACATCCTTCTAGTTGCTGTATGTGGGATGCGCCCTCAGCATGGCTGGAGAAGCAGTGCGTTGGTGCACGCCCAGGATCCGAACCCAGGCCGCCAGCAGCGGAGCGCGCGCACTTAACCGCCAAGCCACGGGGCTGGCCCAAGGAATCTGTTTTTTTAAACAAGCTTTTCAAGTGTTTCTGATGCAAGGGGTCTGAGGACTACACTTTCAGACGTTCTGATCTGCACCATACCCGAAACACTCAAGAGGGGAGGGATGGTTTGCTGATAGCTCTCCCTTGACACCTGCCTCAGCCCCCTCAGGTCCTGGCTGCTGAGTTAAAGGGTGTGGCCCAGGGGGGCTGGGAGGGGCAGGGAAGGGCTACCCTCTGTGTTTCCTTAGCCCCTACAGGTTTGGGCCTCTCTCCACAGGTCTGGCCCCAGTAACTACTATGAACTGTTGGGGGTGCATCCTAGTGCCAGCACTGAAGAAGTTAAACGAGCTTTCTTCTCCAAGTCCAAAGAGGTACCAGTGGCTCTAGGTGGGGAGGGGGAGGGGAAGTCTGAGCCAGATGGGGTGCACTCCAAATTCCCAGGAATGGAGCAGAGTGGCTCATTCTGGTGGATGCCACATTCCCTCAGCATGCATAGGGAGTGGGAGGTGCCCCAAGGGCAGAGGTCTGGCCAGGTGGGGGGACAGGCTGGGTGCAGGAGCCAGGGGCCCTGTCTGATGGGCTTGGTTCTCTTGACTTGCCTGCTCTTGAGAAAGCCTGGACCAGGGCACATAGTGAGAGCTAGGCAGCAGGTGGGGAGGGCTTGAACAAGGGGAGCGGGCAGGAGTCTGTGCTTCCTGACTCTCTGGCCTTCTGGAGGGGTGGGCAGGCCTGAGAGTGAGGGTCAGTGCCCAGGCGGGGCTTCTGGGAATGATCTGAGCCCTTGTGGGTAGACATTACTGGGATGGGTCCTGGGAAGGGGCATGGAAAGGGAGATGAGGGGAGTCCTGCCCACCTCAGCTGCACCCTGACCGAGATCCCGGGAACCCAGCCCTGCATAGCCGCTTTGTGGAGCTGAGTGAAGCATACCAGGTGCTCAGCCGTGAGCAGAGCCGCCGCAGCTACGACCACCAGCTCTGGTCAGCCACTCCCCCCAGGTCTCCAGGAACCACACCCTATCCCGGGTCTGCTTATCAAGCACACAGGTATAGTAGTCCTGCCCCCAGCTTGCCCCACCAAGTCTCCTGGGGAGCCTCATCCCCACACTGTCGCTTCTTCTCCCTCCCAGCAGCTCCTGGGCGACCCCCAATGCACAGTACTGGGCCCAGTTTCATGGCGTGAGGCCTCAGGGACCAGAGTCGAGGCAGCAGCAGCGCAGACACAACAAGCGGGTGCTGGGGTACTGCCTCCTGATCATGCTGGCAGGCATGGGCCTGCACTACGCCGCCTTCAGGTGCACCCCTGGGGTCATGGGCAGAGGGTGGAGGGCAGGGGGAATCCCAGTGTGGTCAGCCGTCCATCCACACCACCCCTGTGGCCCACACTCTTGTGTCTCGAAAGCTAAGACTTGTATGAAATAGGCCTCTGGAGCCTCTCCTTACTTGGCAAGGCAGCTCGGCACTAAGGGCTAATGTCATTTTCAGTTTTTTATAATTCGAATGTAAATCTGTGGCACTGGCTGCCAGGGAGTGCTGGAGCTGACCAAAGTCAGGCACGAGAAGGCAGTGCACTGTGACTGGGCGTCCCCAGCAGCTGTCCTCACTGGGTGGGCAGTTGGCTGTCTCCCCGCCCCTCTCTCATGCACACCATGACAGAGGTTCTACAGCAAAGATGCCTAAAGGCCAGTGTCCACTGAGCAGCCTGCCTCATTCAGTGATGGGGTGAGATGTACGGCCCTTTCTAGTCTCCTGCGAGGAGCACCCTGACATTCAGAGCTGCTGTCACCATCTTCAGCAGAACAGCCATTGGACCCTGGACAAGCCCCTGCCACTCTGTGCCCCTCTCCCCACCTAGCACAGGCAGTTAGGTTGAGGTTCCCAAGGATGTAAAGCTGTAAGACCCTAGAGTGGGGTGGGGGGGAGACGTGGGGACGGCAGGGATTGGGGGACCCAGAGTTAACTGTAACCCCCTTGCAGGAAGCTGGAGCAGGTGCACCGTAGCTTCATGGATGAAAAGGATCGGATCATCACAGCCATCTACAATGACACGCGGGCCCGGGCCAGGTCTGTCCCTGCTCTGTCCTGTCCTCTCCTCGCTGTCCTGGCACCACCCTCCAGGGTCCCTGTCCCGACCCCCACGGGTGCTCTCTCCTGCAGGGCCAACAGAGCCAGGCTCCAGCAGGGGCACCGGCAGAGGCAGCCGCTGCAGCCATCACCTGGGCCGCCCCCAGGCCCCCGGATCGTGCCCCCGGGCACCAGCCCCTGAGCCGCGCACCTGGACGGGGCCTGCTGTGTGTTCCGTCCTCGCTTCCCTACCGGGACTCTTCACTCCCCAAAGCGCGTGCAATAAAGTGCTTCTCAGAGCTCGTGTCCGCCTCCCTCCTTCAGGCCCAGTGCCCCCCGCCCGTGCCTCGCCGCAGGACAGCGCCCCGCCCTCCGGGATCTGGCGGCGGCGACCCAGGAGCCCGGCCCCCTGGGCGGCGCGTCCCCTTTCCCCCGCTGCGGCGGGAGGGGGTGTGTGGAGGGGGC